TGGCGTTTCTACACTTTTATAAATCTTTCATAGAAATATCTCGTTCTGCAAACTAATAATCATAATAGATAATAGATAATTATAATAAATCTTAAACATATCAATCGTAGAATGAAAGAATTTTTGTAAAACAAGAAAGTCGATGTTCTTGAATGACCATCTCAATCGTTGAATTTAAATCCGATCGTAATGCTATAAAATAATGTTGATAAAATGATCAAGGGAGAAGAAGCAATAAATGTGAATTAACAATTTGATATTATAAAAACTAGACTCTGATATTTGTTGAACATTTTGCGAAATTGGTTAATTAAATGCCGCAAAAGTGTAAAACAATTATTAAAGAAAATTCAACGAAATACTGAAATTAATTAATTTGTACTTAATATATTCAATTGTGTATCAATTGTTTGAATCTTTGTTTTATTTAAAATAATTGTTTAATAAAATCAATTACAATTAAATAATTGTCAAAGGAATTTTTCTCATTTCCTTATTTCCCACATTCTATTTTTGATACAGCCCTCTCTTTTGTATAAAATCTTGATTTTCTTGCACTTTTATATTAAAACTTGGTTCTAAAAATGGTTATTAAAAAATTAATAAATTACCACAAATACACAAAAATATCACAAATATTATAACATTTATTCAAATCCAATCCTTGCCCTCATTCGGTTGACGAGCGTTAGCAATTTCGTATAAACAAAATGCGATGCCTATTATAAATTATTTTTTAAATGAAAATTTAATTATTACTGTGTGTGTATGTGTGTGCATTAATACAGCTTTATAAAAATGAGTAAATATAATATAACATTGATTTATTATCAATTCATCAAAATAAAGCTTAAATTTAATAGTAGTATTAACTTCACTATTTACTCTTGCTATGAACGCGCATTAACACTTCCAGAGTTTATTGATAAAAGTTATATGAAAAAGTTAATGAAATAAAGAAAATGCAATCATACAAATAGAATATAAAAAGTTGTAAATAAAAAATCAGAAAGTTTCAAAACCAGCTGTTGAGCCATTTTTACATAATTAGAAAATAAAATTTCAACTAAACATTTGCTTTATACAAGGATAATGGAGAATTAAAAGTTTTCTGATCTTAATTCAAAAAACCAATTTTCTTTTTCTGCACTTTTTGAAAACTTATATCCCACAGACATGTCTTCTAGGAAAAATTAAAATTGACTAAAATATACAAATCGAAATAATGTATGAGGTCGCTTAACCAACTAAGATAGTTCGTGCCAGCTGGCTATCTTACAAAAAAGTTTTCGAATACAGCAAGTCAATCTATGAGGATTTGTTCTCAAACAATTTATTAGATAGATATCGGAATACATAGAATCAATCGTTAAATTAGTTGATATAGACATTTGTCCCGAAAAACATTTACGCCAGCAAGGAATGGTTGCAATCGCCAATTTTCTGGCAAGCATATTCAATGATAGTTTCATGAATGTAATTAAAGTGATGGTGATAATGGTTAGAACTATCGATAGTGCAATCTATAACTTAGCCGTTTGAGGGGATGAGACGACCCAGCTCGTATATCTTCGAGTTCCAAAGAAACGAGATTGTCACTCAAAAAACGAGAAAACTCAAAATGAGCTCTATAAAAAAAAGAATATCTCCTCTATGATCTTACTGAATAACGATAAGTCCAAAAGTTCTTATATATTATCGTGAAAAATGTTTGACAAAACTTTAAACACTTTTTTTTTTTAAATCGTATTTTTGAACATGGTGAATACGATTCCAAAAAAACTACTAGTTCGATCGTCTTACGATTTTACATTTATATGCAGCAAAAATATGCCGTTATCATCCAAAGTGCAATCAATAGTCTACTTAATTTTTTCTATTTTTTGAGCGCTCAAATAAAGGAAAAAGAAATCGTAATTATTGATTATAGGACGGTAGCTCCAATGACCTTGACATTAATTTATGTTATCAAGGTTACTGCCCTGAGTAACCTTTAGAAGGTTTTAATTGGCGCTCATTGTTTAATAAAAAGTTACTAACGAAAAAAGTTTTATAAACGGAACGTAATTCTGATACACAGTATACATTGAAATGTAAAAGATGCCTGTTCCTAGCCGTGCAACTAGGGGGATAAAAACATCGAATTTCTAGGCTAAGAAGGTGCCAGCCGTACGCGCGCGCACACACGCACACGCCACACACGCACACGCCACACACACGCATACATACTGCTCACCTGCCCGGGCGGGCTTGCGGTGTGTGCGTATATTCCTATTATATTTGAAGTTTTATAAATATACACTTTTTCTTACATTTTTGTAAAAAATTCTCACTCTTTATCTATACCCCTTAGACATCCTGCACCGCGGCGAGAGGGGATCAAGTCCGTTATATTTAAGTTAAAGAGTGAAAATTTTTCACAAAAGTGTAAGAAAAGTTTGTATTTATAAAACTACATACGCACTCACCGCAAGCCCGTCCGGGCGGGTGTGTGTATGTGTGTGTACGTGCGTACGACTGGCACCTTCCTGATCTACAAATTCGATGTTTTTGTACAGTGTCCAAAAATTATATTCATTATATGCAACTTCTTTTGTTAATAACTTTTTAACAAACAACGCGCGCCGGCTAAAACATTTTGAAGGTTATTCAGGACACTGACCTTGCCAACATATGTTAAGGTCAAGGTCATTAGAGCTACCTCCCCCCTATAGTCAATAACTACCAAAGAAATTAATAAAATTTAAACTTTTCTTCAAACTGCCGAATCCAATCAGCAACTCCTCCCCCCCCCCCCCCCCC